GACTCCGGGCCATTCCAATCTAACAGTCTTCGGAATTTTATGAGTAGATATTGGCGTTACTCGATTCTCATCTAAATGGAGTCCTTGAATCTTACTTTTCGAAGTTTCATTGATCATATAAATTCCTCATAAATATTTGGTTTGGGTATAAATAAATATTTCAGATGATGCTGCTATAACAGCACGTACGTCTTGCAATATTTAGAACTTTTTTCAGATTTCGATACAGAGTTCAATGGTAAAAGTACTTTATTCGAGAAAAAAGGAGCTGTTTTTGAGAATATGTATTATGTACTTTTAAAAGTACTTTAACATATTACGTTTTATATATGTGTATGTATATATATATATATATATATTAATATCCTACCCTTCATGCCAAAATTTTACAAAAACGTCTCATATTTTTGCAAATTGTGCCTCACCTTATTTAAATTCTGTTTCTGTTCATTATAATCTCTCTTCTATAATGTAGTGGTAGGAAGACGGCAAATTTAAAGTTGTGTAATTTTCAAAAATTCAAATTTAACAAAACTCATACTTCTTTCTATTTAGCTTCAGACCTTTTGAGGCTCTTAAGAGCACTATGGTAGTTCACTATGTTTTGAAATAGGTTTACATACATTGCTTTATTATGGTCCCGTGAATAAACAAAAGCACTTGTAGCCACTTTAGGAGATTTAGATGTATGTGAGGAAAGCAACTAACAGCAAGTTTAAAAAATGCTAATGCCACAACTGAGTAAATTGAGACTGTGGGAAAGAGATTAATCATCTGGTAGGCAAGGAAGTTACTATTAAAAAATCGAATAAAACAGCCGTAAGTACTTTAGCGTTAAAGCATCGTTTTATTGCTCCACTTAATAGCCCAATAATGTACTTGATGAGGAAAAGCTGAGCTCATTTTCTGTTCAAGTGCCTCAAAAACATTGATATTACACAACATAACCTATGTCGTTTTTTTGGCCACGGATTGAGTAATTTAGTTTGTTGTTAGACAAAATTAATGAATACTGTTTGTTTTAAATTTCAACGACAGTCTTTAAATTTTAAATCTTTCCATTTACAAACTACTATTATGTTAATGTTTAAAATAAAAATGCGTGAATATTCTTGAAATTTCTAATTCGAAAAAATTCAAGTTCTATTAATCAGGATAAATTGTTAGACATAGAATGAATTAATCTTTTTGAAAATAACCGAGAAAAATACTAATATGTTACACCCTGGGGTCTCAGGAGGAGGAGTTGTATTTTTTCTGGATTTAGAGTGAAGAATAATTTTATAGCTAGCTCCAATCTACATAATTTAATCACGGTACCCTTCACTAAAAATGTTTTTAATTCTCAATTTTTTCATTAATAAAGAAAATTGTGTTAGGTTATGATTTTCAAGCCTCAATAACTTGGTCAGAGTATTGTGCCGATGTTGGAGCGAAATTATTTTTTCCTTCTTATTCATTTTTGAATTTTTGTAAATAAACTGCGCTGAAATATTTCCTAACAATCCTTTCAATAATTAATGGTACTATGCAGATCATTCATGTAAAAAACGATGTTAAATAAAGTTTGAAAATAAATGATTTCTTATGTATGAGAAAATTAATATATTTTCTGCTTCAGTTCGCAGCTCAGTTTTAATCAATATAAGTACGTATTATAAACAGTGAGATTTCAATTTCAAATTTGTCTTTAATGGAAATTGACGTAGTTTAAGTACTGCATTTTCAAAGTACATGTCATCCCATGTATATTCAACGCTACTAAGTTCCTGAGGGAATTCCTAAAGCTAGAGATTATTTTCTACTTTTGAACACGTAAATCCCTCAATGATTATTTATTTTCAACACCCTTGTCAAAGTTGTTCTCGAAAACGTTTGGAACGTGCAGTGTAATATGCAATAATTCAAGTTTATTCCCGTTCTAACTAGCAATGCAGGTGAAATTTCAGAGTCTTATGAAATTCCGGAAGAATTCTGAATATTTCCATTAATTCGTGTATGAATGGTGATTTCAAAATCCCGCACCCTCTGCAAAGGCACTTCACTCTCTCGCAAGGCCGCCCATTGAGAATTTAATGTTCAATAATAAGTTGAAATGATAGTCTTGGTTCGACCCACGCAGTATGAGGTGAGAAGATTAAGAACGCCGACTGATTCGTGACTTGTACGATGCATATTTTGTCGGTAGCCTGAACATGTAAAATCGAAGTCTACGTAAGACTTCATACAAATGCAAAACCGCGTCTTCTTATGCGTGAGGCAGCAATCAAAAGAGAATCGGAATCAAATTGCGCAAAATTTATTGCGTAGTGAAGTTCTACAAAATCGACGAAAGTGCCTGAATTCACTGGCGCATATTTTACTCTTCGAAAGCTGTTCCATCAAAACTCCGTAACGTTCAAGATGTTTCAAAGGTGCCACTTTTAAAAGCCGATATTCATGAGTACGCGAAGAAGTTAAAGAATTGAAGTATTGAAATTCAAGGGAATTTTCACAAATAGTTGTAAGTGATATGAATGCGAGTGATAAAGAGACATTTTATTTCGGGAGTAGGAAATGTTGCCACCCGAGGTTCATAAGCTAAGATGCGCAATCCTACGGGCAAAATAAAATCACTTTTATTGCGTGTGTCATACAATATTTTTAGACTGCCTCAATGACTGTTCTTTTATTTTAATTCAAGTATACAAATCACTTAATTGGGTATCATGTTATATTAATATTAGTTGTAGCTAATCAAACGAAATTACTTTGTTTTCTTTGTTGCATTCACCGCTTTATGTCAACATCGTCTCACATTTAGCACTAGTGCTAAAAATTTACTTTTAGTGCCTGCACTTTGAGTGGTTATCTACTGCTTTAACGATTGGCTGTCTAAAAATATATTTATCATTGAAAAGGCAATGGTAAATATTTATATCTTAATATTGTTGAGTGTGTCTATTTTTTAAAAAATTGTTTAATTCCCTCCCTCTTTGGCACACTGTATCGTTGCATGCATCACACTTTTGTATTACTGCCCGCATTATACACAATGGATTCAAACGTGA